AAAATACTGTACTGTACGTACAATATATCTTTGATGATTACCATTCAGTTCGTGGATGACCATGTATCTGATGAGTACCAGAAACCCAGTTGTTCTGCTGCCTTTTCAATTGTTTTCTTGGTTGATTTGGATTAAAAAAAAATCTTAATTTTTGGATATATGGAGTTGAATCTCTCACTGGAGTAGTTATTTTGTGGATCATGGGAACTGAAGTTTTATATATTTTAATTGCATCACTCAACAGGTGGTCCTTTATATAGTAAATTGTGTTCATGAATTAATCATTCTTTAAAGTTATAGTACCAGTACAGTAGTTGCATTTTTTATAAGTAGTATTTAACCTAATAACAAAGGTGTATCCTGGTCAGAATGTACAATATTATGTTCAAATCAACAGTGAACATTGTTATCTGCTGATGACATTAATTTGTACAATATCCTTTCTACCTGCTTATATAATTAATATATGTCATTAAGAACATGTTTTTGTATAATTTGTGGATTTTTAAAGGTAACATATTATGTTTTCTTTATTCCAAATAACTTAAAGATAAGAACTTTGTTAGTCATTTTAATGAGTTGTGTTGGGACTTACGATGATTCATAATTTTTACAAAACCTATCGAGTAGAGATAGGGAAAATATTAGGTTCTTTTTTGTTTTTGCATTTCATTTTCTACATTATTAAAAATTTTCTTTAAATACTGAGGGAGCCAATGTTATAGTGTCTTAAATGTCCAGAAAAGAGTGTTAAGTTATAATTACTCTATAAGGCTAAGGTGTAAAGAATTGCATAGAAACACTTTCAGAATTGTCTATAAAATTGCCAGAATTGTAAATTTTAATAAGAAAGATGTACTGTGAAATAAAGACCACTTAATAGTCGAAGTGCATAATGTAGTGTTGAAACTAGATTAGCAAAAAGTGCTTTTTTTTTTTTTTTAGGTATAAAGAGTTAGGGAATTCAGGGAGCATTACAGGTGGAATTGTACCACATTAACATCCCACAAAGCTTCCCTGATACCTAATGAAAAACATCCTGTATATATCTACAGAACAGTTTCATTAAATGTCTTCTCTGTGAGATTCAGTGAAATGGGTTTTAATAAATTAATACAGCCACTCCTCGACTTGCGACGGGGTTAGGGACCCAAATTCAGGTTGTAAGTCGAAAATGCGAAGATAATACATAGAAAATCTAAAATGGGTGTCTCTTTTTCTTCTCAGCACCACAAAACTCTCACTTTTAAGCATGCCAGCCATTTTAACGAAAAATTTGTCAGTACACAGCGCAATCACTAACGTCGGGACTCGAAATACGTAATTTGAAAAAATTTTGGTACGACTGGGGCGGTCGAATGTCCGGGTGGTCGTAAGTCGAGTAGGTCATAAGTCGAGGAGTGGCTATATGAATAATTTACTTCAGTAAACCTTTCACAATACAGTGTACAGTGATATCTCCGTTAGCCGGAACAATTGTGCAGAGCACTTCCGGGAATGAGAGATTTCCGGATGCAATACACTATTGGGAAAAGTTTCTCATAATTTTCCAGAAATTGTGCATTATTTCATCCTCAGAATTTGCTCCCAGGCCTGGGGGAAAAATTGGAGAGAGTTTCCGGATTTTTCAAGAATGAAGCATTATTTCCATTATTTCATCCTCGGAAGTTGCTCCCAAACCTGGGGGGGGGGGGAGGAATTTGGGAGAGTTTCAGAATTTTTCAAGAATGAAGCATTATTTCATCCTCGGAAGTTGCTCCCAAACCTTGGGGGGGGATTTGGGAGAGAGTTTCCAGAATTTTTTAATTTTCCAGAATTACACATTTCACCCTTACCTCACAATTTCTTGCTAATTGGTATTCCACCGTGGCCGAATTTATGAAAGTCACGGATTAACAGACTAAGCATTAAAAATATATGAAAATTTACTAAATGTTAAATCTTATTGTGAAACATAAATCTTTATTGTTTCATACTTACAATTACATTTATCTCCCCGTATTTGAATGTTCACTTATTCACAAAAAATTATTAGTGACTATTCAAGATTTGCGATCAAAAGTCGGCTATCCGCGAGGCTGTTAGAAATTTTTCGACCGATCATTGGCAAATGCACACCTCGTGCAGACGCTCCATGGTTAGTCATTTCTCTCATGTGTCACTGTGTGCCGCACTGTCCTCCCCTTCTCACTCCACCCAGTATATGGACGCGGGAAGGGAGGGTATCGGAATGAATATTCAGCACTCCCGGTAAAATTTGGTTCCTGCTGTATTGACCCAGTAACACCCAACAACCTCCCCAATTCATGTCAGGCTACTGTGTGCAGAACATCTTCACTTTTATGGTAAAAATCCAATGTCGTAGACTTTATTTAAGCTACAGTGCATATCCTTTTATCCAGATTCCAACTATCTGAATCTTCCAGGAATCTGAACTTTGTCCCCTTTGTTTCTGTTCTGTAAAAAATTTAATATAGTCCAACAATCCGAATGGAACTGAAGTCATTCATTCACGTTTCTGCTAGCAGTAGTACCTGTACTATAACCACTTTGTTAAAAAAAAAAAAAAAAAAGCCATCATAAACATTAAAATTGATACATAACATATCATAAAATACAATTGCACATATTTTATATAGTACAAAAAATAGCTCCATCCACACTCCAACCATCAGCTAAGCGATGCCACACAGTTCAGCCAACCAGCTGACTGAAATGTGTGTATGTGTATGCCGTGATGTCACATCGGGGAGAGGAACATGGGTGAGTTGGTGACAGCTGTGATGCAGTTCAGCTCACCACCACCACACACACACACCTATGCTCTTCATTTTTTTTATTTTATAGTTTTATATTATATTTTCTTTATTTTTAAGTCATATTAGAGTACGTACTGTAGTATTGTAATTTTTACTCTTGCTCTGTATTAAAAAAAAACAGTTTTACCAGGGTGGACTATACTGTCCTGAGTTATATAAGTTATGTGTTTATTTGCATACTCAGAGCAATTGTAATTTTTGGGGCAGTTACAAAGTAAATTATTTTTAATTTGTTTGAAACAAGCACGGGCCTGGTAGGGGGATGTAGCTACAGGAACAGTCTAACTTGGTGAACTGCCAAGTCCACACACACACACACACTCACGTTCAGTTCACACACATACACACCCATGCTCTTCATTTTTCTTAGTTTACAGCAACATGCCATCTCCACGGATAAGTACTTTAAAATTCATATTACTATTTACTTTATACTACCGTAATTAAATGTATAATACAGATACAGTAATATCTCCTTTAGCCGGAATCCCTCAAACCCGGAACTCTCAGATAGCCGGAATTGAAATTTTCTCGGAAAATTTTCTCCCTAAGCCGTAATTTTCCGGAAAATTCCAGCTTTGGTAACGATTTTCCAAGGGGCACATGAGTGTCACACTTGGTTAATTTATTCTGGCTAATGCCAGTCAGTGTTATTCACCTGAGAGAAACCACTACCATTCATGTGGGTTAACAGTGCTTTGAACTAGTCTGTTCATAATGGAATGGAAAGACAAAACATGTCCTGCCCACATTATCTTGGTGTGGGTTTGTTATTGGTTTCTGTGATAGTGTCCACAATGTAGCAGAGATTGGCTAGTTCACAGCACATTACTATTTTCATGTTCTCTTGTATTTTTTTCTTTTGGGGAGCCATTATACACAAACAAAATAAGTATTAGCATCAAGCCAGATTATGTGCTAGTATGGAGAAATTTAAATACAGTATTGTGCCTTTATTCCCTTAAAGACTTCGTATAATTAATCAGTGATGAGCAAATGTATTGTTTTAAGTGGTGCTTGTGACCTTGCATAAGTTGTGCATTTTCTATGTATTAAAGGGGATTTTAAACAATGGATATAACTGGTACATGTATATTTTATTGTACCGAGTAAATACTTGTATATTCAAGAATGACTACTTCAGGTTCGTAGGAGCGAAAGCAAAAGATATGAATTGCCTGAGCATTTCAGAATGGAAATACAGTAGGCCCTTCAAATTCGCGGGGGTTAGGTTCTCAAAATGGCCGCGAATAACATTTGCTGACGGGGGGGGGGGTGATTTTTACTTGTGTACAAAGTAATGTATATTCCCTTTATGTGTTTGCCCTTCGGACAATTATTTCTTGTACCTGTATTGTATATATGTGTGGTGTGGGTAGACACGCACACACAAAACACATCAAATAAATAATAATGGGAAAATCCTCTCACAAATAATCAGAAACAAATGTAGTATTAAAAAAGTCGAGTCTACTCTCAAGTCTACTTCGTGCTTTATAAATAACAAAGTACGGAGTAGACTTGGGTAGAATCAACATTTTTAATACTACAATTGTTTCTGATTATTTGTGAGAGGATTTTCCCATTACAGTATTATTTATTTGTATGTGTTTTGTGTGTGTCTACACACACACACACACACACGTATATACAATACAGGTAAAGGAAATTACTGTCTCTAGAACGAATGGCTCCCTGTTCAGGCCGAAAAAATGCCGGCAACTTTAAAACCACCCGCAGACATTCTTGGGTACATCCAGGGGGTCATCCGCGAATAATAGAGAACCACAAAATAAAAATCTGTGAATTATCTGGGCATACTGTGTTAAATAAGCCCCAATTTTGCAAATGAGTTGTGTCTGTGAATGCCAGCAGTGCATAAATTGGTAAGTCAATGACAAAGTTGAAATGGTGTAAGGTGTTAAGAAATTACTTACACTAATACGTAGCAGCAACAGAGATCTCCATTTGTTTATACCTCAAATGAGTCTATGGAGTGTCAGTGTGGTCCATCCTTACGTAACGCCCCTTAGGCATATCCTACTGTCTGCCTGATTGCTAACTGATGGCAAAATTTATTCAAACAATGGGGGCTTATTATACCATTCCATAGTGAACAGACAGTAGGCAGTGGCAGTTGTATATGTAATAGAACAGGAATTGGAAAGAAACCATAAAACATCAGGTATTTTATAAGATTTATGCTCTGCTGCTGATTTTGAATTTCACAGATATTGTACTAATAATCTGATACAAAATATACTGTAATTGCAGTTGATTTTACATAAGTGAATAAGCAATCAGCTCCTGGTAATGACTATTTAATGAAAACTTTTATTTAATAAATAATAATATAAATTTCAATCTACAGTACTGTATGAGATTTGCTCTGGATTATTTATTTTTTAAACTTATATTCAATATTAAATACGTATGTATTTAAAAATTAACCTTTTCATTTAAATCTGAACCAAGAGTCTAACATAAGCCATTGCATAGCTTAATGTAACATGCACACTGAAGACATTTTTTCCTGTGTGATTATTGGTAAGAAGAGTTGTTAGTAGCACTAAAGTAGCTCCGTTTACATTTTTATATTCTTTTGACATCTCAAACATTAAGATGTACTTAATGACAAAGGCATTCCAAAAATAAAACAATTTAGTGGAGGTAATGTAAGTACGTAATAACAAAGTACTGTATATTTATACTTTCTTAACCCTCTCATGCACAAAATAAGCTATTAAGTTTCTGTGACCACAACAAAGGTCATATGGGACCACTCACAGGAAGTCTGGTCATCTTCGTTATGCGGCCTACTTATCCCACAAGATTTTTTTTTTTTTTTTGCAAGATTTATACAATACTGGCTTCATTATTGTTTTGACTTTAAAATATGAGAATAACTTATTTTTTCACTCTGAATAAAGAAAAAAAAATTCCCAATATCATATCTTCAATATTTTCTCACAAACCTACCAAAGTATTATAGTTATAGAAGCTTTCCAACGGTGGCTTTGGAATTTTTATGACTAATTGTGGGGAGTGGGAGGGAAAAAAAATTATAATGATGCGACCTACTAGCACAGTTGATGGGAGGAAACTGATGGTTAGCGGAACCTAACCCATGCTTTGGTACTTTTTGCAGTCATCTATGATGCACGAAAATTTTTCTGGCGAATCTTTTTTATGTTAAATGACAATTCACGTCTGATGCAAATTGTGTTACCCAATGATTTGGCACAATTTGTGTCATGATGTGTGAGGGTTAATCTCTCATTTTGAATATTACTGTACAGTACAGTACTTAAAGTTTTGAAGAAAAAATTACTATTGGTATCAGTTACCATTAACAAAATTCTCTTGAGCAATACAATTTTAATTGTTGTGTATTACAAGAGTTTCAGTAAAGGGTTTTATATACAGTACTTCCCAGTAACCTGGGAAGCCTTAAAAACAAAAAAGAAAACATGTATTTTATTGACTGTAGTGACCTACTGAATCCATCTTGAACCATTGATATTCATTTTCATGTCATCCGGAATCTCATTAGATGTATTTAGTTTTTTATATATATGATTAGAAGGAAGTGGTATTATTCATAAACAAATCCCGAAGGACTTTTTACATAGCAAAACTAGCCAACTAAAACTTTAAGTCTAATGTAGTTTTATGAAGTTCTGACAAATGTAAAATGCATTATAAAATGGTAAACATAACTCAAACCCAATTGTGGTCCATGTAAAGCTAGAGAAACCTAAAAAAAAAAAAGAAAAGGTAATTGTTATCCATGATAAATAGTACTGTAATATATTTTACAATGCTGAACCATGTTGCTAATCTCCCTGATTTATTCAACTTTCACTTGTCTTCCAAGAACTGTTTGCTTTTGTTTTTTAGTTAATTTGTACTTTTTGGTGCACTTTCTGTAATTTCATATTGAGGTTTAGTTATATTTTGTCAGCTCTTGACCGTTAGGTGAAAAATTTCCCCACTTTTTTGTGGTAAGACCTCAAAACTATGAATCATTCATATTAATAGTGAGAATCACAAAGAATTGAGCACCAAGGAGTGAGCTAAAAGAGAGTAACCTCAACCTGTCAACTCAGTGACCACTTTAAAAAGTACATTGATACAACATGCATTTTATATCTTGGAGGATCAAGTTTTGTTTTCTTTTTGTGTGTAATCTTTTCATAAAGGTATTTATTATTGAAACATACAACATATACAATATATATACAACAGGAAGTGATATTAGCCTAAAATACTCAGTTGGTTATAGCTTTAAATGCATCCTCTCTGAGATCATTGAGAAAGGATACAGGATTGTGGAACCGCTAAGTAAAATACTTTCTTTGTGTGTATTTCTATGCTGTGCCTCATGTTTGCACCTAGTCATATCTACTGCAAAGACTATATTTATCATAAGTACTTAAAGATGAAGACAGTTTGGGTCTAGTAACCTGTTGCCTCTTACTTGTACAGTACTGTATGTGGTACTGAACATAGCATGGGCTGTGTATGATGCTTATTGTCCTGTTGCAATGCTGCATTTACATTTTAGATTTTTTTTTATGTAGACATTCCATAGTACAACTAATTTCCCTTTAAAAAAAAAGAAGAGAAGAGCAACTTGGCGGTCCCACAAAAGTGTATGGATAAATTTGGAGACGTTGGGCAAGGGAGAGAGTTGGAAAGTTGATTTTAATGTAGATAAGGTATGACTGTATGATAAAAAGTTTGGAATCTGGAAACCTTTAAATGTACTGTACAAACAATGTAAGACTAAATTGTGGTAGAGTGCTGTGTTGTTTGTAATTCATGTGGGTATATTCTGGTTTACTTGGGATGTGTAAACACACCACCAATAAAGTATGTAATTGGGTATACTACAAGATTTTTTTTTAAGTCATTTAGGGGAAAAGTTATCAACATTTATTTCAATTTATTTTAATGTACGGTATTCATATAATGAAAGTCGTGACAATTTGTTTACTGATGCATATTCCTGTGAATTTTAATTTATAAATTCAATATTTTCTACAGTATAGTACTCACAAGCTGTGCCAAGTTTTCTGAAGTGAAAATTATACAGTACAGTATATCAAATATAATTGATACTTTTAAAGAATTTTTTTTTTTCCATACTACTACTCTATGGTTGAACTAAACTCAAGCTTTGCCTTGATATAAATAGTATATACTCCTTCCTTTCACCCAACCTGGTCTGCCCATGTACTTTACACCTGTTGAATGCCTGCTTACTCTGCCCCTACCAACTGCTGGGTGTGTATGTGCGGAAGTGCTATGCGAGTCCTAACTACAGGTACTACAAATTTTTATCATAACTTGTCTTAACTATTTATTGTTTTAAAAATATATTTTTTCTTGCCATGCCAAACTGTATATAAAGAAAAAGTCTAAGACAATTGTTTTTTATTTACCCAAAACTTTTAATGTCAAATGAATGGTATCATTTCCCTTATGAAATGAAATGCAGAAGTTTTTTAAATCATTAAAAATATATACTGTACTGTGTACTGTATATATACAGTATTTAAAGAAATTTGCTGATTTTACTTGTGGTTTTAGGACCAATTGTTAGTTATCCAGAGCAGCCTCGGCATCCACAATGCACACACTCTACAATCTTGCCCTAGAAAAAAAGACAAATATTATCCCTGCTCATAAGATATGATTGTATTATTGATGAGAATTTATATGATTCATTAACAGATATGAAGGAAAAAAGTCAAGACAGGTAGTGCACAAAACTGCAGTACAGTAGATGAGAGAAGTAGAGTACAGTAACAGCAAAACCTTGATACTGTACACCGGATTACTTGGGGCAGATCCCAATCCAGAAAATGCGAAAGTCCAAAAAAGACAAATCTATTGGGAGAGGGGGTTGGACATAACACTGCTTATTTAGAGTGCTTTAAAAAAATTACCAAATGACTAGAAAGAAAAAGGCAGAAGTAGGAAAAGAAATATGGGCAGCATTTGTTTTTTTTACACATTTAACTTTTCCATAAAATTATTGTGTACTGTAGGTCAGAAGTATGGACACTTCCAGCAGACACCAGAGTGTGAGTAGAGACTTTCAGCATTGTGTTTTTACCAGATAATTTTACAGGGAACTTATAGGAAAAACAATTAAAGAATTACCAAGTGAGAGAAATACTGTACTGTATTGGAAATCTGTATGAGGGGTATTCTTCCCAAATATGAACATCCTATCCCTAATACATGCTGTAGTTCTTTGTATAAAAGAAAAACAGGCAAAGGTATATGGACAAAAGCAACTACAGTCGGCCCTTAACATACGCGGGGGTTACGTAACAGATAGCCGTGGATGTTAAAAATCCGCGTATATGTTCTGCCCCCCAAAAACCCTGGCCCCCTCATGTCCTTATTTACCGTATATACCTGTGTGTAGTTCGAGTTTTTAAGACCAAATTATTTTGCAAAAAATTGGGGGTCGACCTCTAAAAGGGTAATAGTTTCGTTAGGTTGAAAAATATTTACCAGTAACTACCAGTAAACAATGGAAACGACGCACCAACGCACCACCAGCCCAAAGTAGCCAAATGCATGGTATGGTATACACAGGACGATGTAAAACAAAGTATTCATTTGTTAAAGTTTATTTATAGATACTGTACATAAATTTTTGTTCATTACATTTGAAACATCAATCTTTGTTAATTAAATTTGATACAAAAGAAAACTACGATACTGTATTTTCATTAAAATATTACATCACAAGTATATTTTACCTTAACTGTGACTGAATGAATATATTCTCAGAAATAAATATGGAAATGTAATATTTTGGCTGAAATGACGTACATATTACTGTACAGTGGAAACTGGGATAAAATTATGAAAACAATGACTTTCGCTTTCTTTCGTTGTTCAAAAGATTTTACCGTAATCGCTTTTCAAATGGTTGTCAGTTAAAAACTGTTGTACTCGTACTGTATTACAATAATATTCTATCCTATCATTAGCCTTATGATCCCACAATTGAAAACCATTCGAAAAGCGATTACGGCAACATCTTTTGAACGAAAGAAAGAGAGAGAGTCATTGCTTTCGTCACAATTTTATCCCACGCTCCACTGTAATACGTACATCATTTCAGCAAAAATATTACATTTCTATGTTCTCAGAAATAAATGGTAGTTTTGTTGAAACGTAATGTACAGTATTTAATATTAAAATGCAACAATAGTTATAAAAACAATTAATACACCCGAAATATACTGGCTGGCATCTCCACTCGTCCCTGCTCCTGCGTCCAAGGTCACCTCACCACTCCTCCCAACTCGCTCCCTCCCCTCCCTCCGCACCGTCACTACTGCCGACAACAAACACAAATGTTTTGTGAATAACTGCACCTCCACTTCCTATGTACAGTACTTGTACTGAACTGTACTGTGCTGTGCATTTTTACAAACAATAAACATGGCAAGAAAAGCTATTAAAAAAAAAGAGATAAGAATTTCACTTTACTGTACCGTACCTCTCCTCGGCGACAGGGCGGGGGGTCATCAGGCTCATCGTCACTCAATTCCATAACAGGTGGTGAAGTGGGGGCGACTGTGGATTCAGCTGCTACCTCACTGTCGCCAGTGATTGATGGTGTTAAATCTCTCCTTCGGTGATCAAAGAACATGGTGATGGGGAGTTGTCTCTTTCTTTCATTTCTTCCATGATGTTTTTGTATGGAGCGAAAACGTCATCCATCCCTCGCATGAATTTCAGGGCACGCACCATGGAGGGGTCCATACTATAGGCCAGGTTTTTCAGTGCCTCAATATTCCTGGTCATCTCCCCCAACTTCTCCAACGTTATTTCTTGGTGCTCTTCCTCATCCTCTTTCCCTTTCGCTTCCTCTTCCTTGCCTGAGTCTACTAACTCCTGTAGATCCTCCTCGGTCAGCTCAGTGTCGTGCTCTTCAATTAGCTCCCTAATCTCGTCCTCTGCCATGTCCCGGAAGCCTTCAGCAGCCACTTTCCTTGACAGTGCCAGGGTCTTTCTGAATATTTTCATTAAAATCCATCAAAATCAGTTTCCTTGTCATCGTCTTAAGCACCAAACAGCTCCTCCCAGTCTTCTCCTTGAACAGGGCTAGAGGGTACGCATTTTTCGAATCGTTTTCAATTAAAAAAAAGTTACAGCACATGTATATTTTACCTAAACTGTACCTGAATGAATATATTCTCAGAAATAAATAGTAGTTTTGCTGAAACGTGATGTATTTCAATGTAAAATAGGATAAAATACATGACGAAAACAAAAGACTTTACCTAACCTTCCAATGTTCAAGAGATGTTACTCGTTTTTTTAATAGTTTTCGGTTAAAATACTGTTATATTACAATGATATTATATTCATACTGTGCTTGATATACTACAGTCACGGAAATGTAATATTTTTGCTGAAATGACGTACGTATTACAGTGGAAAGTGAGGAAAACAACGACTTTCGCTTTCTTTCGTTCAAAAGATGTTACCGTAATCGCTTTTCGAATGGTTTTCAGTTAAAAAAACTGTTGCATCACAAGTGAATTAGGATAGAATATTATTGTAATACAACAGTTTTTTAACTGAAAACCATTCGAAAAGCGATTACGGTAACATCTTTTGAATGAAAGAAAGCGAGTCATTGCTTTCGTCACTTTCCACTGTAATACGTACGTCATTTCAGCAAAATATTACATTTCCATATTCTCAGAAATAAATAGTAGTTTTGCTGAAAAGTAATGCATTTTAATGTAAATTAGGATAAACTACATGAAAACAAAAGACTTTACCTAGCCTTCCGATGTTCAAGATATGTAACTCGTTTTTTTAGTAGTTTTCGGTTAAAATACTCTTATATTAGTGATATTCTATTCATACTGTGCTTGATATAATACATTCACGGAAATGTAATATTTTTGCAACTACAATGCTGATGTCAACACAAGCGTGGTTACAGCGAGACTGACTGAGTGAGGGAGAGCTATGCGTGTGTGTGTGTGAGGTTGTGGGAGCGGGCGGTGTCCCGTGTTCGGTGCCGCGCGCGAGTTGAATGGCACGCGATTTGAATGTACTTCAATTACTTCAATGTACAGAATATTCCTCCGGCGGGGCAATCCGCGTATTTGCGAATCCGTGTATGCTAAACCCGCGTATGTGAAGGGCCGACTGTACTTTTTTGTCCTGCAAATAATAAACATAGTCACATACCACACATATTTGTTATCAATTAATTAAAACAACATACCTCTTCAAGTTTGCTCTTGGGAACTCTGCATACACAATTAGTACCAAAGTTTGTGTCTCGTGCCTGGATACATCGAAGGCAGCATAGATTCTCATAACCTTGCTTGCGCCACTTTGCAATGAGATTCTGATCAGCTATCTTCTCTTTGAGACAATAATCATAAAGCTCTGAAATGCAGAAAACAGAGTGACTATTTCTATATGCAGGTCGAGGATCCCTAATCTAAAATTCTATAAAACAAAAAGCTGAGGGAATAATAACAAATATTATTAGCTAAGTTGAGAGTAGGAGAGACTGGGATGGATGAATTAAATAAAAAAATGGGTTCCCAGAGAGATGCAAAACTTTGAAAGATTGGTAAAAACAGCCTGAAAATTTTTAGAGTGGAGGACTGTTGTCGCTAACCCTCAGATATGAGGTTGTTACTTTGATTGTACCGTATGAAGGTATATGGGGCCGTGCCAAACCCTTTGTAGGTTAAACCCATAACTATAACAAAGATTGCAATGAAACACATGATAGCCTCAATAAGTTGCTCAACTCAATGTAGCATAAATAAATGCAGGTCAAGTCTGTAGAGCAGCTGGTTGGACCAGTCAGCTGACTTGGCTGCCACTACCTCCACAAAATCATCTTTACTGTAAAAATGTCCTAAAGTACGTACCAGGTTCAGGTATATATAAACACAACTAAACCAGCAACTGTATGTGGCAAGAAATGGTGGTGTTAGTATGTGGGAGAATGCCATTGCTGAAATTTACTCGGTTTTATCTACAAAACTACAGCAGTAGAGCAAACCAAACATAACTAAAACCTACAGTAATAGAAGAAGAATTACGCAAAATCATGTTTACCATAAAAATATCTTAACTGTGAGAGGCGGGAAGCGGTGGTGCTAGTGAGTGAGAGAGAATTTTATTGTCCAACTTTATTCAATGTTTTATACAGTGCTACAAAAGTAGATCGTACCAAACATTACCAAAACCTAAAGAATTTAAGAATACTGAACCAAAGCAAAAGAATGTTTAGTGTAAAATATATCTGAAATGCAAGAGGTAGAATAACAAGCAAACACTTTCAAAACAGAACTTTCCTGAAACCTTGTTTCAGACTATACTCTCTAAAGCAAGGGTTCCCAAGCATTTTCCACCATGACCCCATCTAGTGCTGTTGCCTATACAGTGCGACCACCAAGTCATTACATTAAATATAAAGATTCATAGGATAAGTACGGACATATTTTTACACGTATTTAACTGTAAAAACAAATAAAGAAAATATATTACATATTTGAGAAGTGTAAAAGCAAACACTGGCAGAAACAGGTTATAACTCTGTCATGATTACAGTATCATCATTTAGTGTTTTATACCTGGGGGTATAATTATGTGGTTAAGCAACATAAAATACAGTTTTCTTAGTTACAGCTCTGTCATATTTCATATGTAACATGTGTGCAGTATCATTTAATTAATCTTACTGCACGTTACATCAGTCATAATTAATTATCATTTAATACATTTTCTGTTTACTGGGGATATAATTATGTGGTGAAACAACATACTGTATGCTACAACTGTGTCATATTTCATATGACATGTGTATGTCATCATTTGATTAATTTTCTATACCTGGGGGTATATGAGGTTAAGCAACTTAGCCCACAATTTTCTAAGTAGAAGTATATAGGAGTGTGGAACTTCGATTGTGAAACATTTCATTGGGCAAGGAGAGTAACTGTGTTAATCCCTTGACCATAATATATGGTCCCGACTTAATGAGACAGCACCTGTTGGCCTTGTCCTTCAGTCCTTGACACCTTAATTAAAAAGAAATTAAAAATCACATGTGACTGCTGCAAGATTCAGTTGACCCCCTCGACCACATGACCTCTATGCGGCCTCGTATTTGGGAACCGCTGCTCTAAAGGACTCAGAATATTATCTTAATTGCTTTAATCAAGACACTGTATTTCATTAAAAAAGTTGAGGCTGAGTTACACATTGTGCATAAAGGTACAATACCATTAAGTTAATGACCAGATCCTTATGCAATAGTGTTAACTTGCAAGACAAGAACTCACTTAAAATATAATACTGTACTGCCAAAGACTACATTGCTATCGGTCTTCTCTGATCTAAGTATACTGAAAACATAGATCAGCATGGAGTTGTCCACTCAGCTAAATGTTGTGACTGAAACTGAGGAGTGCTGCAACTGCTACCTTGTTTGCATCCATGGTAATGGGTTGCAGAATGCAAATGTGCCACCAAATCAGACAAGGACTCTTAGCTCTCAGCTTAACTGGCAAGTGATTAAGTTAAGAGAAATATGATTACTGGATCATAGTTCCAGTGACACAAGTCAAGGATCTTGAAAACTGCAGAACATCAACTTGCAGACTTACTGAGGCAGTAAATGAGTTGCCTGATCTACTGTGTAGGGCAAACAACAATTGTCTGACAAGTTGATGTATCGCTCAGGAAGTAGGTAAATACTGAAATCTGATGAAGATGCAATGCTGGGTAAAGAGGGATTGATAATGTGGTATATAAATGAAGTGAGAGCCATGTGGACAGAAAAGCTAAAATAGACACAAATAATACCATCACCTAGGCTTCAGTCATCATGAGGACCCCAAAAATGTGGTAATACAGTAAGTCCTCGTATAACGTCGGCCCGCTTAATGTTGTTTTGGTACTACGTCGCTAATCTTTAGAAACCCAAAATTCGTTCAACGTCCCAAAGACTCAATATAACGTCATTTTTGCGTCATCACGGACTACTTTTCATGGCGCATCACCCTCTCGGAGCGCTACAGTACCTCTAACTCACAGAACATGACAGTATTCCCAAGCGACGCCAAGCCAGTCTCTGTTAGGCTTCCACATCATTCGTGTGTGCTTAAGTGTTTTTGCTATAAATACTGTACTCTAACCATTCGAAATGGCTTCCAAGCACCCATCAAGTGCTACTGATGCTAGTGTTGTGAAGAAGCAACACAAAACCATTAGCCTTGCTACAAAAATGGAGGAGGAACGCCAGTCAGAGCAGGAGGAGGCACCCGCCGAGTCTCAGTGACTCACCACCCTCTTCCTCCGCTCCACTACCCACCACACATTCACTCCACCACCTCCCCCCATCAATGAGTACAATACAAAATGATTTAGTTTTAAATACCTGTATATATACTATTTTCTATCAAAATGCCATTGATTTTCTGTATACAGTATGTAATGTTTTCATGGGGCAAAGGGAAGCTCAGGAACATAACTCCCGTATTTTATCTATTTCTTTTTGGGAAAATTGATTCGCTTAACGTTGTTTCATATAATGTCACATTTTCAGGAACGTAACCTCGACATTAAGCGAGGACTTACTGTATTTCATTTCAGTAATTGAAGGCAAACAGGTAAAACAATGTGAGAGAATAGAATAGGAATATATGACAGAGGTCTCAATGGAAGACTCCTTAGAAATGTGCAAAGATCCTTATGTCTAGATTCGGAAAAAGTCAACCACGGAACTCTATAAAGATGTTTATATAGGGAGATAGAGCAAAAAAAGCAAATACTGCATTTACTTTATAGCGATTTCATTGGAAATTTGTATTCTTCGAGTTTTTCTGACTTTTCAACTTCAGGTTTGGCTCTTTAGGTTCCATTGTTTTTCTTTTGTCTTGTCAAGTTTGGTTAAGTTATGTTTACGCACAGGGGGGTCCAGGGGGTGAAGCTCCCCTGAATAGGAGGTTAGGTCAGGTCCTTCTGGTTTCTCTAGTTAGGTTAGGTTAGACATGTACATTATACTGATATTTTAGTCGTTAGGTTAGATTCTTGGTGATCTTTTTGTTTGGCAAAAATTTTTTCTCCTTCACTATTTTTGCAGGGTTCTTGATAAAATTAAGACCTTTTTTCTATTGAAAAGTTTCCTAAATTGGCTACTTAACACACTCTTTTAAAGTTTTCTGTAACAGTTAGGTTAGGTTAGGTTTGGTTTCATCAGTTTTTACCCCGTAATTTCCCTGTACAGTATTTCAAAGCCCGGCCCATTTAGTGTGATCATAGTTGCATGTTTTAAGTGAAATTGTAAAATAAAAATAACTCGTCAAATATAAATTTCCAATGAAAACACTACAGAGTATTTTTTTTTTGTCTATCTCCCAATTCTTTGCCAATCCTTACCTATGTTGGAGAATCTGAGAGACAACTTTGCCTTGTTGCAAAACATGGGATATAGTGTACAATACAGACCCTATACTGTACATATAACAATAACATGTTGATCAATTTTACCATACATTTTCTTAACTATTACCAGAATAAAATAGATTATTATACTGTACTACCAATACCACCTGGATTATATCTTACCTCGACTGATAGCTTTCCTGCGATAAAAAAGGTCATAGATATAGCGAGAGCGCTGATGATGAATGCGGAATATTGGCCAGAGAGACTCCACTTTTCGCTTGCCCTCGTGTGACTCTGTTTCCGCTGAAAATAATAATATTGTTTCATTAAACATTACAATACAATATATACAGGATGTACTGTACAGTACTGTATTGTACTTTAATTTGAGCTGTAGTAAGTTAATTACAAAAGAATAACAAGTGCAATAAAAATACAGTAATCTCTTTTAAAAAGCAGTACGTACCTGTACTGTATATATACATACAATACAGTAAGTCCTCGTTTAATGTTGCCCCCGACAAAGTAGTTTCGTTATAACGTCGCTACTCTTTAGATAAGCATGATTCAGACAACGTCCCGCCGATTAGGTATAACATCGTCATGGACTATACTTTGTACTGTGCATCACCCTCTCTCACCCAGTCAGAGCGGGAGGAGGAGCCACCCTCCTCCTCTCCCGACCTCCTCCTCTCCACTATCCACCACACACTTGCTTCACCTCCGCCCATCAGTGAGTACATTACAAAATGAATTAGTTTATTTATCTTTTTGGATGTATAATATATACTATTTACTATAAAAATTCCATTGAATTTATGTATATGTAATGTATTTTATGGGGAAAAAGAGGCTGGGGAACGTAACTCCAGTATTTTATCTATTTCTTATGGGGAAAATTGATTCCGTTAAAGTTTCCGTTAACTTCGGGGTTTTCAGGAACAGAACCACGACGTTAGCGAGGACTTACTGTATATACAAGTGATATCTACATGGTGCAGAGTACTTCCAAGAATGAGATTTCCGGGTAACGAGACGACTCTCAAAGCCGTAAAAAATCCATCATCCCCAGAATTTTCCGGGTAATGTTTCCTAACTTGTAAAAATGTTAAGAATCACTTTTGAGTTTATGGATCCCTCCTCACCTGAACACCGAAAACAACACCAACACATACTAAAAACCGAAAACAAAACTATTACCTACTAAAAATAAAAAACATGAATAAGGTAACTTTTTTTTTTAGTTTTAGGATCTTTAATGGTTAGGAAATGTTAGGTCAGGTTTTCAAAAGTTTGTTTAGGGTTTTATTAGTGTTTAACCCCATATTTTCCCTCTACTTCAATGCCCTGCCCACTTTAAATAAGTAATACTGTTGATAATTTATCGGCTAAAATACTCAAAATAATTTAAATTTCTGACAGAAGAGCTATACAGTATAATATTTTTTTCTTTCTCCCTACATAAGACTCAATATATTAGTAGGTGTTGGCAACTTCTAAATATTTAGCAATTTAGGGATAAAACATGGTGAAAAGTTGATAATGATGTCTCTACCTGCTTTGTATGTGAAAAAAAAATATTTATCATAAATACTCCTCCGAAAAAACTGCCGACTCAGCGTATGTTTACCAAAGAACCTATTGTCATCCAGACGTACAAAATATGTGCTAAAACGAATATTAACAGTACACTATTTTTGGGTTATTTTTACTTTAGGACATGAGTTCCTATGGGTTGACCAATACGTTTTTCCAGTGTGTTTTAGGCGAATCTTACCTTCGTTTTTGCCGGCAATTGCTAGTTTCCCCCACACACACACACACACACACACACACACACACACAATAATGGAGGAGAGCCTGGGAAATCATGGTTTTTGGGTGGGGGAGAATACAAAAATGAGTCATCTAACCTAACCTAAATGTTTCAGTAGTTTAAAACTTTGGGGTGCGCCATGTCCGAAAGTACAATACCTTAGTTAGATGTGGGTAGAATGATCATCTTTCGTAAAACTTAGCAATAAACTTAAAATAATCATAGGAGCATGAATCACACCCAACCTCCACCACGGCCATTATCAGACTGGTCATTGAAATTTAAATCTGCACCCAGGCTGCTTTCTTTGAAAAAATTCAAATGTGATTGGTAGAAAAAAATTTGAATGATATCGAGACATCATTGGTCACGACTGGATGACATCAGTCAATATTGCGCATGTGTGATGCATAATTAACTCGGTTTCATGCAGCTGACATCTCTTCACAGACGAAGACTGAAAAGTACGTAAAATCAATTAAATTCAATTGTCTCTATTTTCCATTTCCGACTAGTATAAATGGAGTTTAAAATGCTCAGAATAGGGAGACCTAAATGTTTCAGTAGTTTATAACTTTGGGGCTCGCTATGTCCTAAAGTAAAATAATACCTATTTTAGATTAGGTTAGGGGTTGTTTTTTTTATTAATCCCTTGGCGACAGGGGTCTCTGTTGAATTTTTTTTTTTCGTATAAGCTAAATATGAGACTCAACCCCTGGGGCCATAATGACTGTCCTATCACAGTAATGAGTTACCTTCTCTCATCTTCTGGTCCAGCTCCTCTAAGGTTGGCTCTATTAGCTCCCATCCCTCTGGTGGGGGTTTCCTGCTACGACGAACTTTTGGCATGATACTTATACACCTGCTGTTTTCCTTCTTGTTCTTTATGTGCAATTCTTATTATTATTTATATGATATTCTTATATCTCATATGCAGAGGTTTTTGTCAATAGGAACACAGGCAGACCCTACACAATGATCCACTCCAACCTGTGAAGGCAAAAAAGACTAAAGTTAAAATTATTACCACGAACAGAATCCACTGGTTTGTTTTTTAAAAGTAATGAACTAGCACTAAATAACTTCATCCAACTATCAGTATCTTTGGCGCGTCATAGCAAGTTAGATTTTGGTTGTTTCAAAGAAAAAATTAACGGTTTAACAATCTCATTCGCGGTACATTTTTAACACACGCTATCTTGACTACTTGTAGCTAAACGTAAACACTGTGGTAGACGGTGTTAACACATTACGTCCACTTTCCTTTACCTTAGAATTTAATTTCTTTCATCATCGATTTACCGAAATAAAAATATAAAATTCAATGTACCGTCTAGGTAATCATTTATAACTTAATTTTAATGCAGGTCAAGTCAAACCCAAAGGTGTTTTACCACTAAGCGAGAGTAGGCGTAAGGGACCCCGAGGCTTGAAGGACATGGTGGAGACATTGACCAAATTCTTTTCCTCGGTGTCCACAAGAGAGGATACGAACAATTTTCCTGCGTTTGAGGATAGACTGTTAGACACAGCGCTGACCCACATCGTGTTCTCAGAAGAGGGTGTAAGAAATAAATTGTCAAAATTAAAGGTCCGAAGCCTGATAAGAGTCCCGGCCCTGACATGGTGCATCCCAGAGTGTTAAGAGAGTTGGGTAACAAGCTTACTGAGCCCCTGAAGAGCCTGTTCTGTAAATGCCTGGATGAGCAAAAGGTCCCCAGTGATTGGAAAATGGCTTATGTGAGATCTATTGTGGGGTACGGGAGGTTTGGTTCACTCAGGATGGGATGGAGAAAGGAAACTCACAATGTGCTCTCTGTATACATGTTGTATTGGATGTACAATGCAACTTGGTGCTGGGAAGGCAGCATGGTTACAAGCGTGATGTAGAGAGAGCTGGTTGGTGAGGGTGCTCAGAGGAGGACAGCTTGTGGGTCACCATGCTCGCCGGCGGGAGCGAGGACCGCCAGGCAGGCGGAGGAGGAGGAGGTGTTGCTGGCTGGTTGGTGTAGGTAGAAAGAGAGAGATCACCACGAGGTCAGGTCTTAAATAGCGGGGGTTGGCGTGGCTTAGTAGTTGACCCCAGCTCCGTGGGCGGCGCTGGTTGACCTAGACCACGAGGCATACACAGGGGAATTCGTGGGGTCGGCTATGCAGCGACAAACAGCGTTTGTAGGGGAGAAATCCACTACAATACTTCCCCTTCCCTCCAGGCGGTGTAGGAGACTTGTTGTCTGCAGGGTTGCATAGCACATGTGAGGCAGAACGGGCGGTGCATGCCTCATGTGAGACAACGGCGATGGCGTGGATGAGTCGGCCGCAAGAGACAAGTGTCTAGATACACAATATCTGTGGGAGTAGAGAGGGAGAAAAAGGGTGTGTGGAGGCGATGAATGTTGTGCTTCCCTCACGGCAGGTACAGAGTCGTCAGATGCGCCTGCTGGGGTGTGTGGACCTGGGTCAGGAGCAGGGGCTGCGTCAGGAGAAGCGGATGAGGGCTCGTTATAGCAGCTGGGTCCACGACAGCAGCAGGGTGCAGGACATTAGCAGGGAGTACCTGAGGGAGAAAAGAGGGGTGTGTGGGTCCGCACTCAGGAGCAGGGGCCGCGTCAGGAGAAGCGGCAGGGGGTACTGCTGGGCCGGGGCGGCGTCTGAGGCAGGACGGGTGTGTTGGGGTCGGTAGGACGTGGTGCTTGGGGCAGGAAGAGGAGCTGGTGTCTGCTTAGAGAAGTAGTGCTGCTCTAGGGTGTCTAACCTGCGGTGTAGAGACAGTAGCTGTAGAGCCGATGAGAGCTGCTTCTGGGTGGATAAGCCAGTCTTCCATGTTGCTTGAAGACTGGGAGAGTGATCTGTTTCTCCTCCATCCTGTGCGAGTGCGAATCTCCGGGGTCACCATTTGTGGGGTATGGGATGTTTGTGTTCACACTCAGGATGGAATGGAGAAAGGAAACTCACAATGTGCTCTCTGTATACATGTTGTATTGGATGTACAATGCAGCTTGGTGCTGGGAAGGCAGCATGGTTACAAGCGTGATGTAGAGAGAGCTGGTTGGTGAGGACGCTTAGAGGAGGACAGCTTGTGGGTCACCATGCTCGCCGGCGGGAGAGAGGACCGCCAGGCAGGCGGAGGAGGAGGAGGTGTTGTTGGCTGGTTGGTGTAGGTAGAAAGAGAGAGATCACCACGAGGTCAGGTCTTAAATAGCGGGGGTTGGTAGTTGACCCCAGCTCCGTGGGCGGCACTGGTTGACCTAGACCACGAGGCATACACAGGGGAATTCGTGGGGTCGGCTACGCAGCGACAAACAGCGTTTGTAGGGGAGAAATCCACTACAACGTGACCGGTCGCCCAAGCGGCTAACGAGCCGATCAGTGGTGAAGAGGATAAAAGTAAAAAAGTAAAGTATTTAAATCAGTCAACAGACCCAGTTCATGGATTTCTCGAGGGCGCTTGACAAAAAATCCTTGAGTAAAGTGATGAGAAGGGCTGAGGCAAGAGTTCCCAGCCTTTTTATAAACTGGTAATGATGTTGGTATATGAGTTCACGAGTTGTTCTTATTAATATTAAATGTTCTGAAGTTAAAAACATAAATTCAAAGTACAGTACACTATAGCATTTTGTAATACTGTGGTGGTTTTAATTCTGTACATCACAAAGATATGAAGTTTATAGAATTTTACACCAACATTATCTTAACTCAAAATTTGATGAAGTTTTTGTACTGATGGTGTGCACTCCAACATAGTCAACACGTTCAAAATATCAGTACAATATTTTTAACTGATGGTAAAACTTTACTCAGTGCTCGATTAATGTGAGAATTAAGGAAATATATTTTAACTGTTTTATGATACCATGTTTTGTTTAAAAATTACTCCATCATTAAATATAGTCTTTTGGGGAGTATCGATGGACGGCTACTAAATACAGTACATAAATTAGATGACGATAAGCATTTTTTTTAGAGCATTAGCCATAAGATATGTTATATATCTATTTAAAAATGCACCATATCTAAATTATGATTATTTAATTTTGGGTTTAAATAAAGAGATAATGCAAGCTGAACATTATTTTTAAAGTTAGTTACCCAGTATTCCCACACATATGAAATATTTTTCCCGCGCTCAGCAACATGGCGGGTGAGTGCTCCTCTCTGTATTTCACACTCACTTAATCCCATAACAAACATTTGTGTACTGTGTAAGGTAGTTTCCGATGTTTTATTTAATTCCTGTGGTATTTACTCCACCTTGAACAATTAAGGGAATATCAGAACAAGTTTTGACATCTTCTGTTTAAGGAATTACCATCGTAATACTTTGCTGTTTCTGAGAGGGAACAAGAAAGAACATTTCTTTGTATGTTGATATAAGTACAAGTTGGTGGGAATGAAAGGTAAAGTACTGTAGTAGGAGTATTGGTCGTCCAGGGATGAAGTAATTTGTGAAATTCCAACAAACCCAAGTTGTACAGACGATAACTTGTTCAATTAATTTTATATGTTAAAGTCATGCATTTCCCTATTAACATACAACACAGGTAAGATAAAACAAGTAGAACCACATATATAGGATACTTAAGGTGTCATGTATGTAGGACTAATATACTTGTACGTATGTTGGCCTTAGGAGTAATTTTCCAATACAGGTGAAACATAGTCATCGAGAATGTCTACTATGTTTAAAAATGAGTACTTAAGTAATCCAGAAATATCATGACCATATCAAAGACCATACCAATGTCAATGTTGAATGGGTAATAGTAAAGGCACAGGATATAGGTACGGCAGCTGTGTGCAAAACATAGCGTCCAGAAAATGCCTCAATTTTCACCATATCATAGTAAGTTCTTTCTGTTTAATATACCGGGGAAGTTAGGTAGGTTTGTTTGGTTAGGTTGGTTAGGTCTGTCCTTCATACCCACAAATGTTAAGTAGTGTTTATTTTAAAAATATCAAAGTTTTAACATATTTCCACAAACTTCAATAGTGTCCACTATAATATAACAATGAAAATCCGGTATTTTTATAATTATTTACAATCAATTTCGCTCACAGGTTAGTCCTAAATAATTACCGTATTTTTATATTAGTGCACCGTTCTATCTAACCCATCCTAATCGGAGCCCCCTTGGACCCCCCTCCCCCCATTAGGTTAGGTGGGTTGGGTTAGGTTAGGTTAGTTTTTGGTGATTTTTTTTATTTATATTTTACACATTTCTAATGCCCAAAGAAACTACGGTGCACTACTATAAATTGACCAACGTCAATATTTATTGATATGGCAGCGTAATGTGCATGAGTGGTGGGTAAACTATATAATGATAGTGGTAAATATTTAGTAGTTGCCAACACCTAATTGACTTTTGAAAATAGGATTTCATAGTGTAAATACAAATATGACCTTCATTGCCGTCAGAAATGAGCAGTAGTTGAGATCTTGAAAAAAGAAAGCTGATGGTCAAAACCTAAAAACTTAAAAAAAAATGAAAATAAAAACAAAACTAACCTAAGCCTACCTAACCTAACCTAACTCCTAGTGTGTAAGAAACCTACCTTAAGTAAGAGATATAGGAGATAGTGATGCAACTTGAATGGGGAAGTGGTGTCTTTGTCAGTATCCATCTTTTACCACAGTACCATGCATGGGTATCTACACAGTACTGACACTGAATTACATCTCGGACACTCTACAAATGAAACAAGAACACTGTGAGCCCTAAAAATGTCAACAGCGGCTGCTTCATTGTCCAAAATGCATGTAATAATGCGCCAGCCAGCTAATGTACAGGGGTCCGACTAATTACCCAAATGTACCCAAATGTAGCCGCAATGAAGTCAAATAATGGTCCTACATGAATAAATAGGACTGCCAATCACTTCTCGACTGGTATTTGGTGTCACGAAGTCACAAAAAATTGGTAAACTTAATTTAATCTGAGTTAATAGATCGAGTGCATGTACCTAACCTAACCTAACCTCGACTAGTATTTGGTGTCACGAAGTCACAAAAAATTGGTAAACTTAATTTAATCTGAGTTAATAGATCAAGTGCATGTACCTAACCTAACCTAACACAACACAACTCAGATTAAATTAAGTTTACCAATTTTTTGTGACTTTATGACACCAAATAATAATCGAGAAGTGATTCACAGCCCGATTTACGCTTGTACGACCATCATTTGACTTCATTGCGGCTACATTTGGGTAATTACTTGCTCCCTCGGTCCATGCACGCGATCTATT